CGGGAATCGAACTGGCAACCTTGTTGTGAAGAGCACGCTGTCTAGCCAACTGAACCATCTGGCTGCCCACTGGCAGCTCAGCATCAGCTCAGCTCAAGTCATTGTCTTCAGTCTAGTTGCAGAGGGCGCAGCTCACTGGCCCACATGGGAATCGAACCAGCAATCTTGTTGTTCAGAGCACGCGCTCTAACCAACAGAGCCACCCGGCTGCCCCTAATATTTATTGAGCACTTACTGTGTGGAGGGTCCATACTTAGTACTTGACATGAGTTGTCAGGCGTAGGCTTTGGGTCTTAAAAGATCTGAAACAGAAAAAGGATGGGAGGAGTCTCTGCTTGTTGCTTGTTTCTGGGTCTCCCTTTGCCACTGGAGACCTTGGAAGAGGAGGTGGAGGGAAAGGGGAATGTGCTAGCAGCGGACGAAGGGCAAGCTGGATGAGGCATTTAGGGAGATGTGAGAGGGAGAGGAAAGAGAGAGGAGGGGGCGAGCTGGATGCCGTGTTTGCCCCTGGCATCCACTTCCTGCCTTGCGGGATCTCTCTGCTCCTGGAGGCTGGCCTGTCCTCTGGCTTCCAGATGGGTTCAGCTGCTGCGGGGAATTGGAGGAGATGAAGGTGAGAGGAGGGAGAGGTTGGGTGTATGCACCCTGCTGCCTCTCCACAGGTTGGCGGTGACCCCCTGCCTATGGCTGCATCACCTCTCCATACGCCCACCCTCTCCAGGTTCAGGTGGCAGCTTCCAGGTCATGCCAACTTCTGTTGTGAGCTCCCCTTGGGCCCTATACCACCTTCTTCTGGTCTCTTTACACACGGTGCTCAGCTTTGTAAATTGTCCCTTTTTGAAAGTCTCCTCATTTACTCCTTTGGGTATCCTCTCTGTCTGGAACCCTGACATGCAGATAGAGAGTCCCCAGCTCAGAAGGCTGAGTGTGGCTAAAGGCGTAAAGGGTCCCTTACCTCTAGTGATTCCCCACTTCCCCCAAGCCTTGAGGGGGTAGCTCACTCTCTGGGCTGGGATGCACGAGTCAAGGAAGACAGGTTTGATCTTCTTCCCAGGTGAGGCCTTGGGCTTCACCACTGCTTTCCAGGTGGCCCCTCTGCACCGTTCGCAGCAGGAAAACCTGTTTGTATTGGGAAGCCCGCATTCTGGGCATACGGATTCGATGCCCAGATGGTGCCGGTATTTACAAAAGCCCAGCACACTGACAGGACCTGCCGACACATGGATAAACATTTTGCCTTTCTTCTCAGGCAATATTTGAGTCTTTTAAATTTAATTGCTGTCAAGGCAGGATGCTGGCATCCCGGAGGCAAAGCAAATAGTGAGACCTCCAAGGGGGCTGGGCTATGGTGGAGGCCCCACCAGGCTTCCTGGCCTGCTCCCGCCCCCCCCCCCAGATGCATATCTGTCTGTCAGCCCCTTGCTCTTGCCAAGTGTCAAGTGGCCGGGTAGACTTGGGGTGAGGGAGGCCAAGGGAGCTGGCTGCAGCCCGCCTGTGCCCTTGAGCATTTGTTGAGTTTGCTCTGAGGCCGAGAGAACCTGATCTTAGCCAAGAAGTCGGGTACTTTTCTCAGACATGACATGAGCGATGGGCACCAGTCTGGCCATGACCAGTGGGATCTTGTTCGAGTGTCTGAAGCTGGGTCCAGGAGTGTTTTGTTTGATCTTGAAATTACTGAGTGTAGGGCAGCTTCTAGTTTGTATGACACCTTTGTACAAATGAGCCTAAGGCAGTCCCTCTGGCAGGGCATTCCCATCCCCTGTGCCCACCACCCCCACCAGGGTGCCGGCTTGGCAAGCAGAGCGGTAACTGGATTTCAGTACCCAGGTATCCCTGGGAGGTGTCCTTGTGCAGGACACAACCTGCTCAACAGTACATGTTCAAGGTGGTACATGCCCAAGGTAGCTGCCAAGGGTTCTTGTTAGAATCCTCTGTCCTGTTTTTGTCTTTCTCCTTTCTTTTCTCCCTCTTTTTTTTTAAACAAACAAACAACAAGATTGCCCTATTCTCCCCTTGGATTGCATTTCCAAGGTGCAGTGAGAGGCTGTTCAGTGCATATGCCATTTCTCCTGCCTCACTGTGATGGATAAACCTCTCCTTACCTTGTCCAGGTAGGGAAGAAGCGTTTGCCGGAGACTCACAGAGCTCTGTAACAATAGCCTCCTTTTATTCATTACATTCTCATTTGCCTCAATTATTTCAATCCCTTGCATATAATCGAAGCAATTGGATCCCTGGCCCACAGTGGCTTCCAAAGGGCGCCTCATATTATTCATTCCTTTCTTCAAAGCACATGTTATTGGTGCTCTCACTCTGTGCTGGGAACTAGGGAGATAAAGATGAATGGATAAGACAAGTCCCTGCCCTTGAGAAACTCATAATCTAGTGGGTGAGTGAGGCGTGTAAACAGATAAATCACAGCCCATTGGTGTGCTTGTCGCAGCAGGACAGGAGTGCATCGGGGAGGGGGGCGGGGTGAATGCCAGCTGCTGGGTGCTGTGGACGGCAGGAAGGTTTGCTGAGAAGCTGCCATTGGGCCTCCTCTTAGGACAAGTTGATGTGCATCATGTGAAGAGAGGCAGGGAGGACAGTCATGGACAGACATGGATGTCAGAACCAGGTGGGAAGAGCCACCTGATTGGACCGTAGGGTGTGTGATGACCGGGGCCAATAGGCAGCTGGCGTGGGGTATCCTGTGTGTAAGAGAGACCCCATTTTCTCTGGAATATACTCCAAGCAGCAGTGTGGAGGGCGGCACCATTATTGCTATTATCACATTACATTATTATTACATTATTATCTCTGAGGGAGACTCCCATCAGAAAATTCTGGGTTCTCATCCTGTCACCGCTACTTCCTTGGGCAAGTCGCTTAATTTTCTTGTTTGTCAACTAGGGGTGGCAATGATAATGACATCTACTAGATTGGGTTGGAAAAAGGATTAGATAGGACAATATCCGTAACAGAGTTCCTACCAGTGGGATAAGTACAAGACACCGATGGGTTCCTGTGCGTTGGATGTTGGTTACTTTGGCCTTCAGGGAGGCTGGACAGGGTCCTGGCAGCCGCGTCCGTCCATATGTCCCGGGTACCTCTCACATGTCTGTGTGCGCTGTGACATGAGGAAAGTTGGAAACCACTGGTCTACAAAGCCCTTGGCCAGGATCTCCTGCCTAGTAACTCCTCAGCAAATGTGGCTGCTTGTTGAGAGCGGTCGTTGTATTCATGTAACGACTATAGAGGGAGGGAGTGAGGAACAAGAGGAGAGGCTGGAGTCCCGGGACATTTCTGGGGTAGAATCTGGGGAGAGTTGGGTGTCTGGGGTGGGGCACCCCACTAGAGAGAGGGAGGCATTGGGGATGACTGTGGGGTTTATGATGTTGTAGGCTGGGTGGAAGGGCATGCTCTCAATGGACATTGGAGCGTGTGGGTTAGAGGCGTGCGTGTGCCTTGGGGACGTGGAGGCCTTTGGTTGACTACTTTTCCCAGAAGTGTAGCAAGTTAGGGAAGAGGGCAGACAGGGTGGGATGCAGTCAGGGGGAATGCTGGAGGCATGCAAGAGCGACATCAGGACCTTTGTAGGCCAAGGGGACAAAGGCGGAGGAGTTGAAAATTAAAGACAAAAGGAAAAGGATACATCACACTTTCCCCAAACTGGTCTTCTTTGGATGGCATCTGTCCCATTGGAGCAATGTCTGCCAGTAACTGGCAGTTGGGCAGTTGTCCAGAAGTGATTTACAATAAGACACTGGTGTCATGAGAGGCACTGTCTAAATTACTGCACTCCACCAATTGCCAGGTTCCCTGCTGACAGTGAGCCAGGGGGGGGTCAAACAATTCAATCAGGTGCCACCACTTATAAATTGAAAATCAGTGGGGTGCAAAATGGATTACCATCAAAATCCATTCAGGTGCAAAACCAAATTTTAAAACCCCCTCACCTTTAGAAATCACTTCTTTCCTGATTCTGCACTTTGCCCTGACATTGAGTTTTAATATCCCCCCCCCCCCAAGCACGCATCAATAGAAATGCCTGCAGGGACAAGGGAAGAACTCCTAGCATATTTTCCTGTTGGAATTCGCAAACATGGTGGATTTATGAATTAATACATTGGCAATTCTGTTAGAGTCTTGAAGGCAGTGGTTCTTAAAGTTAAGTGTGCAACAGAATCGCTGGGAGAACTTACTAAAATTGAGATTGCAGGCTTGACCTCCGCGTTTCTGATTCAGTAGATTTTGAGGTTAGACCTGGGAAATTGTATTTCTAGCAAGTTCCCAGGATGCTGGTGCTGTGGTCTCTAGAACCACACTTGGAGAGCCTTGGCTCCAGGGTCTAGGACTATTTTGATAATTTGACTAACAAAGCATGCATTGATTAATAACAACTCATCAGTAAAGGCCCTAGGGGACCAGGAGTATGTTAGGGGCCTTCGGTTTTGGCCAAGAACCCTGAGAAGAGACTGGTTCCAGGGGACACAGCTTGATCTGGGTGCTTTGTATTCAGAGGTGAGGTTGGGGGGCTGGGATAGAGAAAAGGGGAGACACCCCCTCTAGCTCGGCATTTCACAAGACAGCGGCTGCTACGAGCACAAATGACATCATTATGGCCGAAGCCTGCTCTCTGTTGGTCTGTGGGTACAAAAATGTTAATGTCTTTCGATGCCTGACTTCCTCCCTTGATTTGAAAGTTGATTTTCTTAAGATTAAGCAAACATGGGTACCCCCTTCTCAGCAAGCGGCTATCAGCCTAAACTGCGGCTCTCCCCGCCTCTGAATGATGTCGGAGATGTGTTTTTCTGTCTTCAACGATGGTGTTTGATTTTAGTGCTACTCCCCGCTCTTTTGAAGTCAAAGGTACTGCCTTATATAAACTGTAGGTGTCACCAGGCTCAATATAAAACCAGTCCCTTTTTCTCAGGACAGAAAAATGGATCCCAGAGACTGCCCCCAAACCTGATGCCTGCTTCATTAATATTTGGTTTCCTGTTTCTCTTTGCCAGGAGAAATCGAACGATGCACGTACATCAAATACCACTACTCCTCAGCTACCATCCCCAGGAACCTCACTTTCAACATCACGAAGACCATCCGTCAGGATGAGTGGCACGCCCTGCGTAAGTACACCTGAGTTTCTTTCTTTGGCTGTGACCTTTGGAAGGTACAGGGGTTTGTAATGCTCATCAGCAGTTCGGTCTAGATAGATGGATGCACTTTTTTCTAAGGCCGGTGGACAATCTGGGGACATGGTGGCAGTTCCTTAAAGTATCAACGTCCGTGGGTCAGAATTGCCTCTGTTAGTTTAGATTGCATTGTAGATTCGAGGTGTTTGCTTCTAAAATGGAAACAAACCAACAACAAACTACCAATGACCAGGGATCTTACTTCACTACCCTAGTCGGCGTTTAAGATTCCACCTACCCGACTGAACCAACCCTTGAGATTTAACTCCAGTGCGTCTCCAAGATGCTTGGAGTATTATTGTGGCAACCCGTTAATCCCTTGTGTCACCCTTTGTACAGGGTGAGACCAGCTGGTGGTTGCAGGCTGGCGCCGTAATGGGAATTTGCCTCTGGGTGGGGTCACGAAGGGGTGGGGGTGGGGTCTGGTCCTCAAATTACCAGTTTCTGTTTCCCCCGGAATGATAGGCTTTGGGACCCTGGTTCACACGCATGCGCTTGGCAAAGATCAGAATATCTGCTTCTGTTGGTTGGGGAATTTCTTGGTCATGGATCCTCAGAGACTTCAATTATGATGGGAGGGTGACGTAATGAGCAAACAGAGTTTGTTGGCTATTTTTACTCCTCTGCTCCATGGGGTGTAACTGCTTGTCTGTGTCAGGGAAGCTCTCCTGCACGCAAACTCATTCTCACTCTTAGTAGGCTCTGTGCTGCCTCTGTTGCATTTGTCATTTCTCTCCTCTTCCGGCTTTTCTCACATGTCTCAAGGTTAAGATTCAGTTTATTGATATATGAAGGAGGGTCTTTTATTGTTTCTCGATAAAAAGGATGGTAAACTTTGAAGAAGCCTGAACACATCTTCTCTTTATCGTCACCTAGTTATCTTTTGCATGCCTGGGGCCCGCAGGCTATATTCCACTTTTTGGTGTGGCTTTAATCAGACAAGCATAGCTTGGGGTGGGATGTGGTTGTTGTTGTTGGTGGGGGCGGGGGAAGACAAGTAAAATTAAATGAAACAGCACGATCACTCATTGGTTTCAGGAAAAAGACTGTGGCTGGGGGTCTGGAAGATTGCTCCTAAATGCCACTGGCCCCAGATGACAGGGCGGGTGTCAGCCGTCGGGAAAGCATTACCCCAGTGGTTGTCCCTGCAGGGTTTATCATTACTGGGGACGCTAACCGGAACGTGGGGACAGAGAACTCGTGTTCAAAGACCGTTCCTATGGTCTAGTCACTGAGAAAAGCACGCAGCACACTCATTTAACCCTAATGTGAGATTTGCTTCAGAGATCCTAATAATCGGGGGTTTTCATTTCCCTTTTGGAGGCAGACGTGTAAGGAGCCAACTCTGTAAATACCTGACTATGACCGCTTAGTTCTCACATCACACTGGCCGAATTTTGTCAGTTATAGAAGCCTAAAAGGGATGTTCAAGGTACATGGTCAGCCTTGTTGAATAACCACTTAAATATCACTTATGTTATGGGGGTCATGAGGTCATGATGGAACCTAAGAAGGAAGAAGTTACTAACACAGCAGCTTCCATTCAAATGCACTCAGCTCAACCAAAGTTACTGAGCTTCTCTGGGACCAGGCGCGGAGTGGATGACAAGGCCACAGGGAGGGCCTTCCAGGAGCTCACATCTGGAGGTGGACGAGGGTGGTGGTGGGGTGGGGGGGGAGAGACGTTCGCAATAATTCAAAGAAAACAAATAATTACACAATAAAGCAAATAATTACAAAGCAATGTGATGACTATGGTATAGTAAAATTCCTTCAAGTCATTAAGATAGTTTATGAAAGGTTTTCAGCAAGGAGAGTTATTTTAGTGTCAATTGTACAGATACACTTTGAGGGAAAGCTGGTAGGACTCTTGGCTGTGTGCACAGTAGACGACGTCTGGGGTTCAAATAGATTACTCATCGCGGTATCCCTGAAAATGTGTTACATGGCATCGACAAAGACGGAGAGAGGAGGCTAATGCTAAGGTCTGAGCAATCTTCTCAAGCCCGTCTTCTCCAGGGTCCTCATTCCCAAACTGCAGTGCTGTTGGTTTCTGCAAAAACCAGTGTGCAGCTTATGCTGTGATCTATTTTTAACTGATCAAAGCCATCTCAGCGACTGATATTTGCAAAGGTTTGGGGCAGCCTGTTGGTGAAACAGAGGCTGCCATTTGGTGTGGGGTTCATCTGCGTTTCCCCGAGTGCCCTCGTAGGTTGTGAAGCAGGTGCAGATCATGTGCCATTCCCGATGTCGATGACAGCTGACTATCTTTAGCCAGAGGGCAGGTGAACATCTGTCCCATCTGATGTTGGTGCTAAGTGCAAGTGGCCATGTTGCCATAATGGGGGAGCACAGTAAATCTCAACTGTAATTTTCGAAGGTCAACTATTGATAGCATTTGTTGGGAGGTGGGCACATGAAGCCCCCTTTGGAATAAAGTAGGAACTGTCAAAGATGAGCAAACTTCTATGATCACGCTTTGGAAATTAAAAAAAAAAAATCAAACCCTGATTTCTTTACTTGAGAGTTCTGTACTCTTTAATACTGTAAATGGGATCAAATCAATTCATTTGATAGTAGATTGGTTATTTTATAATTTGACCATAGATAATTTTTGCCAAAGGAAAGGAATTTGATTTTTTTTTTTTCCTAAAGCAACTTCTGGCAAACATTTTGGACTTTGGTTAAACTTAGGTTATACATTTTCATCAGGAATTTGCATGTGCCCATCAACCATTGATGGGGGAAAAAGTTTTCAAAAAGGAAAAGCATAAGTTAAAAATTACGCCGTGGTTTTGGAACAGTTAACCCCACCAACGGGATGTGAGTTCCTTTACCTGATGGTCAGGTAAACAGCAGGTGAAAGGATAAAATTATCCACAGGCCACTCGGCTTACAAATCCAAGTGGAAAGAGATAATAACCACCTTGGGAAGTAAAGGCCAGTGACTCAAACGTGTGTGCGTGTGAATGCTGAGTTGTCTGGGTGACTTGGTGACAAGGTGCTGACTTTGGCTTTGGCTTGGATGGTGATTGCTGGCTGGCGAGGTAGCGCGTGTGCCTGTTTCTCCTTCCCACCCAGACTAGAGCTCCCTGGGAGAAGGCAGAACTCCTTCCCGAGCTGGGACCCGCGCACTCAGTGCACCCAGGCCTGGCCATCCACGCAGGGCAGCGCCCTGCTTTCCTCCCTGTCGGCTGCCTCCTGTTAGGCCCCGGTGACCTGAGCGGCATAGGTCCAGCCTGTGGACTCTGGGTGCTCGTGCTCTTGACCCAGATACTCCTGCTGCTGCAGGACAGGTGAGTGTCGCCAGGCCAGCAGGGATGGCACGGTGGCCGCATGAGCTGAGCTTGGCTAATGCCACTCTCCGAGTGGGTTGTCTGGTGTAACATTTTGAATATGACAGAGTCAGATTAGCACTAATCAGGGGAAGCAGGCTGGCACTGCAGTGGCATCTGCAGTGGGACCGCTTCCTCCTCTCACTAGGCGCGCCCAGGCCTTCCAGTGTGAGGCTGCAGTGCTTGTTGCAGAATTCTGTGTCCTGTGCGACCCCCAAGAGCTCCTGAGGCCATCCCAAGTGGCTCTGCCTTTGCTCTCGCTGCCACGGGCATCCCTTTCACAGGCCCTTTCAGCTCAGCCAGGGGCCTCGACACTGCCCAGTGGCAGGGCAAGGGGAGATGGGTGGGAGGGGAGCCTGAGTGCGGTGATAGGGACTGGGCAGCCAGGAGTCTGAGAAAGCAGGGTCTGGGAGGATGTTGTCACTGTGAGGCGAGTGCTTCTGCAAGGAGGAGCTGGCACGGAGTGGCCCTGGGCCTGGGGCTGTGCCAGGCGAGGCTGGCAGGGGGCACCCGTGGAAGGTGTGACAAGGGCAGCCCTTTTTCACCCCCATCTCCTCATCTACTTGGCAGGGACTCCGGGCAGCTGCAGCAAAGGCTTCCACTGGGTCCCTCAGGGTCCGAGCCCTGAGGCACTGGACTTGTGAGCTCAGATTTTCTTATTCTGCCGGGCATCGTCAAGATAGAGGCTTCGGCTCTCAGTAGATTGCCCCTGACATTGGGAATCGGGGAACTGAGACCCCACCTTCCTGCAATCAGAACCCCTCTGTTATCTTTCCAGAGGCCGAGAGCCAGGAAAGCTAGCGCTTCTGTTCAAGCCCCCTCCTGTTAAGACAGAAAGTTCAGCTAATTAGATTGGATGGTCACGTGGCACATTTCCAGCTGGCCAGAGAGGGAAAGAGAAAGCGATGACCTCCTCCCCTCATCCCTGCTTACACCCTGTCCTCCTGGGACACTTACCCCACCCCTGTCAACACACACACACACACACACACACACACACACACACACACACACACACACACACACACACACACACACACACACACAGTGGCCCTGGAAAGTGGAGTCAGAAGAAATAAGAAAAAGGGAGGGAGATCACGAGGTAAAGACATTAGGGAGAGAGAGTAGGGAGGCAGACAGACTGAGACTTATTGGAGGAACGAAGACATTTCCATGGCCATGTGGCTAAGAGCGAAAAGAACTCACGCCTCAGACTGTCTAGTCTAATGCAGACACGTGAATGACGCATTTGGCTCCCTGTCCCCGAAGCTCTTGACCACTCACAATGGGGCCTGCAGGCTAGCCCAGTCTTGGAAGATGAGCCCCCACCCAGGCTGTGTGGTAAAAAGCCCAGCCTGTCCTACTGCTCTGGTGTGAATATCAGCATGGAACTCTACTTACTCTGCTTGGTCAAGCCCTGGTCCCTCTCATGTGGCCTCTTCACGGCCTCCTCCACAACTTCCCCTCTTGGTCCCCTGGTGCTGTCTGTGGCTCCCTCCAGCCACCCCCAGGCACTGCCCTGCTGTTGGGCCCCACGCTGCTCCTTGCCACTCTGCACTGACAGTGGCCTTTTGGCCTTGGACTTACGTTGGCTCTTTG